CACTCGGGCCCCCAGCAACCATGCAAGGTAGAGCTTCTAGGTAGAGGCTCAGAGAGGGGAGGAGGCTTGTACAAGGTCACACAGCTGGGTTGGGAGCGGAGCCACCCAGCCATCCTGGCCTGGTGTAGAGACAGCCCTGTAGTGCCTTTTCTGGGGTCTGTAGGATGAGCTCAGCCGGCCTGGAGAGCGTCCTTGTGACCGCTCTCCAGCAGGTTTGGGGTAGTTGAGAAGGTGGCTGGGCATGACCCTGCTGTATCTGAGCAGGCAGTTAGAGGAGAAAATGTAAGCAGTGTGTCACCTAGGGTGGAGTCCCAGCCCCGAAGACAGTTGCCCAGCATCCTCCCAGAGAATGATGGACGCTCTCAGGGCAGGGGTGGGGGTGCAAAGGCCCTGGGGCCAAGTCCAGGTGCAGGCACTGACCCACCACCGGGCATACAGCCTGCTGGGCTGTCTTGGAGGCCAGGCAGGAGACAGGAAGGTCTTACTGAGGCTGGAACCACCCGACAGCCCTCATCCAAACCCTAGTTCTGGATAGGGTCTGGCTGGGGTCTGCTTTCAGAGAACTCTCCGAAAGTCGTCATACCGAGCGCTTCACAGCTGATTTGGGGCCTGTATCTGGTGTTGTCTCTTTTGGGCCAGTGCCTGGGAGGAACCCAGGGTCCTTGCAGCCTTACGCTCAGTGCGTGCTCTGCGACTCAGCTGTGTTCCCAGCCTCTGGGCAGTACTTAAGCTGGACTCATGGTTGTACGGTCCTTGCCACGAAGTATGTGAGTGCGCACAAGGGTAAAGAAAGATTCCAGTTCCTCCTCCTGGTCTCTGGGAATTGTGGGGGTGTGGCTGGGATTGTGGAGTAGCTGCTGGGGACAGGGACAGAGGCTTGAGTTACTGGAAGGCTTGGTGGAGGGAGTTCACAGCCAGGCTAGAGACCCAGCTGTGAACTTGGGAGCTGGTGGATGTTAGAAAAATCTCAGTTCTGGGGCATGGTGGGTTCTGGGGTGCTTCTTGGACACTGCAGGGAGAAGTCAGATGGGGAACGTGTGTGTGTGTGTGTGTGTGTGTGTGTGTGTGTGTGTGTGAACCTCAGGCTGGCCTTGAATTTTCATTCTTTCTGCCTCAGCCTTTCCCGCTGGGATTGTTGAGGCCCACTATGGCAGTTACCCCACAGGGTACCAGATTTTTGTTGTTGTTTGAGACAGTATCAGGTAGCACAGGCTGCCCTTGAGTGTACTGTGTAACTGAGGCTAGCCTTGAACTCCTGATCCTCCTGTGTCAGCCTCTCAAATGCAGGGGTTCCAGGAGTCCTTCACCACCACCGCTGGCTGGATGCTGGTTTTTGGGGTGACAGACTCACATTGTGTGTGGAACACACACTGAGTGCCTAGAGAAGCACAGACCAGAGCTGGGGTAAAAGCATCAACTCCTTCCCTGGCAATGAGATCCCAGCGTGGGGGTTGGGGGTGGGGGTGTGTGGCTCAGGGACCCAATTTGTGCTCTCCCCACCACATCCCATGGAGCTGCCTTCCTGAGACTGACAGTCCTATGGCCTGGTGGTTCTTGGTGTATCTATCCTTTTGCCTCTGTCCATTTCCTGTCCCTCCCTCCTCAAGGCCACCATGCTAGAACACAGGTGAGCTTGGGAGAGCCAGGATCCAACACTAGGACTCTGGGGCAGCTGGCCAACTCCAGGCTCCTAACCCTCTCCCAGTATGTTTGAGTAGGGCAGGAGGGGAGGTCCCCAAAGCGCAGGTGGGAACAGTGGCTGGTGGTCACCTGTGTGGCTGTTTCCAGGCTGAGGTGAGTGCCCCTGGCTCAAGCCTTTCTGGCTCCTCACCCACATTCTTTCTTTATTCTTCTTTTTAGAAGTCAGGTGACCAGCCCTGGGCCACTGGGAGGTCAGTGCCTTGCCATCAGCACTGTGCTTGTAGGTGTCAATGCTGTGCCCAGGGTTCTTTGTGAGTGATGGCACCAGGGTCACCCACTACACCTCCCAGAGAGGAGCCACCATCAGGGATGAGCCTAGCTGCCCCAAACCCTCCTGACACTTCCTGGTCTCAATGACCTCCAGGGCTGGGAGTTTGCTCCTGACAGTGGGTCTAGGGCCCTGGAGAGTGGCCCTCCATCAATCAGTTAGGGGAGTGACCTCAGTTGGGAGAGGGGAGGAACCAGAATTAGAGAAAGGCAGCCTCTGTGACCTTCTGCCCAGTCCATAGGGCCCTTGGAAAGACAAGGTCGATGTGTTGCAGGTCCCTTGCCTCTTCTCCAAGCCTGGGGACTATTGTTATTGTCCTTTAACCTGTGCCTCTCTAAGGGAAGAGCAGCTCCAGGCTGAGGCCAAGCACCTTCATGCATCAAGGAGCCACCCACCTCAGTGTCAGGAAGCCCCAGTGACTGAAGGGCAGGGTCTGCCAAGGAACACAGGTGGCAAGGACCTGGGTTTGATCTTATTTTGGGGACAGCTCTCAGTCTGTCTAAGCTGGACTTGGAGCCAGCTCATGTGTCTGCCCAGGTTTGCTCCAGATGGATCTAGCCGAGCCATTCTACTCCCATCTCCTCCTGGCTTTGGGAAGAACAGCCCAGCTGGGGGAGGCCGTCACAGTGGTGGAAATGTGGAGAGCAGCCAGGAGTCTGTGTTGGCCACAGTGGGTCACGTGTTCTGCTGGAGTGACAGCAGGATTGTTATGGCTGAGCTTCACCCAGGTGTTCTCTGTGCCTTCATGAGGTCCCTGGTGGCCCCACTTGTCCTTAGCTCTTCCTCCAGGGGCACCTGCCGAATGTTTTCCGGTGTGTGCTCTTATAGGGGGTGCATGGTACACCCCATAGGGGTCCTGCTCTCTACTAACAGCTACAGGGTGACATCTGCCACCTCCTGGGCATCAGGGATCTCCTCCATCTGAGTGAGTGCCCACTCAGAGAGTTGCAGACCCAGGAGATTGGCACTGTGAGGAAACTGAGGTACAGTGGAGTGGTTAATGTCTTTCTCCCATTCCTAGAGTCACTGGAGGACCAGGCTGGAGCATGTGTGTGTGCTTTCTCTTGTGATAGAACACTCTGAGCAAAGTAACTTGGAGGGAGAAAGGGTTTATTCGGCTTACAGTTCACAATCTTCATTGAGGGAAGGCAGGACAGGAATCTAACACAGGAACCCGTAGGCGGGAACCATGGAGGAAACTGCTTGCTGGATCACTCTTGCTCATACTAGTTAGCTAGTTTTCTTACACATCCCAGGACCACCTGCTTAGGGATAGTGCTGCCCACAGTAGTCAGGGTAGGACCCCACATCGAGACCATCCTTCACAGACACGCCCACAGTCAGACCTACTCAGATGCCTGTAGTCTGTGTTAACACCTAGGGACAGGGCTCGAGGTTTGGGGAATTTCTGTAGTGTGGTAAAGTGGTGGGGCCCAGTGTAGCACAGCCACGTGCTGTTGTCTCAACAGCAGGAGCAAGCCACTCTTGGTGACCGGAGATGCTACATCCTCTTGGTGCCCTTGAGGTTCTGGCCACTGAAAAGAATGCCCAGTGGGTTTGGGACCACCTCCTCTCCCAAGCCAAGGGGAAGCTGAGCTCCCACATCACAGATGGGGTGTGTCCCCGGGCTTCCTGTTGCCATCTCACCTTGGTCCTCAGCAGCTAGCAGGGTGGGTGTTCCATGGGGCAGACAGAACACAATGCACACAGAGCTCTCCTTGTTCTAGAAACTTCTCTAAACTGATTAGGAGTGATGGACAGTAGACAGTCTAGAAGGTCGGGTTTGGTTGGGCAGGTGTTGGCTGAAGATGAGGATGGCAGTTCCCACTGCAGAGACCTGGAAGCAACCCTTTGGGTTTCTGTGGGGGGTCACTGACTCCAAAAGGTTGTGGATGTGGGGATGCAGGCATAGGCCTTGTTCCCAGGGGGGTCAGGTGGAAGGTTACTCTGTGAGGTTCCCAGCCTCACCTGTCCTTGACAAGCTGCCTGGGCCCCCCATTCTAGCCCCACACCAGAGGCTGGAGGTACCCATCTTTGGGAACATGGACACCAAAGAACTGACCTGTGGGATAGTAGAGACCCATGGGGACTAGAAATGACAGATACTTACTAGGGAAATAGATAGGCTAGGAGACCTGTGTTCTGTCAGATTGCCTGTCTGTGTCTCTACCTCCCTGTCCTTGTCTCCCTGAGTGCGTGCATGTGTGTCTCTCTGTCTGTGTCTCTGTTTCTCCCTCCCCCACATCTCACATGTGCATGCACACCTCAGCTGCTTTTGCCTCTCACTCCCACCTTGGAGGTTTCCCGATCAGGTAGTGAGACTTCCTGTAGGTTGACACACAAACACTTGAGGGCAGGAAGAAGACACTGAGAAGTGTCCCAAGTGTCTCCTCTCATAGCTTCTGTCCTCAGAGTGAGGGTGAGGCCTCCTCAGAAAAAGCAGCATGGAGGAGGGATTAGCAGGAGTACCTTGGGTTCCAGGAAGTCTTAGGAGTGAATATCTAAGAGTTGGGCCGCAGGGACTAGCTGAGGACACGGCCATGAAGTAGAATGGTTTTCTAAAATGAAGCCAAATAGTAGGAAGATAAGTGAATTCCAGGACCTTCCAAGCATCTTGACCTAGGATGCAGAGTGTCTTGTCAGCCACTACAGGGCATTGATGCTTTGCCACTCAGACATTGGCTGTGTCAGCCAAGTGAGCTGCAGATGATGGCATTGGTCCACCAACACACAGAGCCCATGGAGAGTCTGGCTGTGTTCCCAACTGACAGCTGTTTTCCCTGCAGATTGTATCTGTTGGGGTGCAGCAGGCTGGTAGCTCAGGGGCTCTCTCCTTCAGGCAGCATGGGAGGTTCCATCTTCTTTTGTGTATTTCAAGATGTCCTGGTGTGTGATGGTGGCCACCGTAGCAACATAAAATCCCGTTGACTTCCCTACTCTGCCCTGATGCTCTTCTTCCCAAGTACTGTGGAGATTTGGCTTCAGTCCTGCTCCTTCCCAGCTCTGAAGTGGCCTTAACTACCACTCTGCATTTGGTGACTCATTGGGAGACTAGCACTTCTATATCCTGTTTCTGAGGTCCAGGTTGGTGGCTAGGAGATCCACACAGGCTGTCATCTAGAGCTAGCCCATGCTATTAGCCTATGGCTGGGTGCCCATGTGATGTGAAGCTATATTGTGTCCTCATGAATGGCTGTCCCAGCTGGGGGTGGGGGGAGGTTGCCCACAATCTGCATACTCATGATAGCTCAGCCACTAAACAGCCTTGACCTGAGCAGGTCACTTGCTGACCCTTCCTGTGACTTCTGTAGAAGGGAGATTTTGTTTGTTTTATTTTTAAAATATAATAGCTTTACTTATTTATAAAGATTTCATACATATATAAAGTGTATTTTGGTTATGTCCATCTGGTATTCCCCTCCATGTTCCCCTGGGCCACTCAATACCTCCCCTTCCCAACTTCATGGCCTAAAAAAAAAAAAAAAAAACAAAAAACAAAAACAACAACAAACACTAAAAAAAAAAAAAAAAAAAAC